TTATTACTGCTAAAGTAAATACAGGTTATTTCTGCTAAAATAAATACAAATTATTACTGCTAAAATAAATACAGTTTATTACTGCTAAAGCAAATACAGGTTATTACTGCTAAAATAAATACAAATTTTTACTGTTAAAATAAATACAGTTTATTACTGCTAAAATAAATACATGTTATTACTGCTAAAGTAAATACAGGTTATTACTGCTAAAATAAATACAGATTATTACTGCTAAAATAAATACAGTTTAATTCAAACTAGCCGTGACGTCAATATAACCATATTTTATGAAGAACTCTGGAACATATTACTTATGATAAAAACTTTGTTTGGTTTTGTAACAAAAATACGCAGATACTTCCAAATTGATGGTTTGACGTTGAGCACAAAGCAACACAATGGGTTGTCTGTACTCTGCCCACCACGGATATCGAACCCAGTTTCTAGCGTTGTAAGTCCGCAGACATGCCGCTGTGCCACCGGGCGGCCAAATATTTCCTTCTTAAATTCATATTATATTTTAGCTATTATTATTTCACTAAGAAAATTAACTTTGATACAACTAATTTTCCTTTGTAACTAAATTAATACTTATCTCTTCAGGTAAATTTTTACCAAAAATACTATGTATTTATATACTTTTAGCACTCCAAACTATAAAAATAAGTATTAACTGACAATTTAATGACCTCTGAAAATTTAATGGCACAAAAATATGATATTTTATAAGCCGATAGATGGCGCATAAGCAAAACATAATTTCTGCTGTGTTCCAGTACTGTATTAACATAATATTATTTACGAAGTAAGAATAACATACAGAAATATGTGTGTGTGCACGTGTGATGGGTTTAATTTCAGTAAGTAGTTTATTCAACTTCAGTGTTTTATCTGTTTTCAAATTGAACATTTTATTTTATCTTGTATCGCAGCATGTATGAGTAAGGACGTTTTAAACAGAAATGGTAAGTATAAAACTAAGAATTAGTTATTGTTTTAATCGACATATGACAAAGTTCGAAAAAACAAGAAAAAGTATATTTAATCTTTACGTGACGTGCATAGAAATATGTATTGTCTGAAGTGAATCAGGATACGTGGTTTTAAGTTGTTTGAATTTGATTTTCTATAGATCTTGGCTGTCATCCATTTACGTTGATTACATATGATAACATTCGATGACAAGGAACCCACTTTGAGACTAATAATGGTTGGAGACGGTTTGAATGGGTAATGAAGAAAAATTTTAATATAAATTTAACATAACAGCAAATGTACAACGTTTCGACAAGGTTTTGTCATCATCAGGTACATATCATAACATTGGCATCACTGACAATTAACCCACTTTCGCCGGCACAAAAAGTAAGTACTGATTTTCTAACTGATCATAATCCTAAATTGCCAATTATAACCAAAAGATAGTAATCATAACAAGAAACACAGCTTTTTGGTCATTTGTAGGTGCTTAAAGCACAGGAGTATTGTAAAATAAGCACACTGAAATCTAAACAAAACCATCCAAAAGTTATTGCTCCAGATCAGACTGAAAGGTCAATTATGGTTTCTTCTTCTAAGATTTGGTCCAAAAAACCATTTGACATCAGAAACTGTAAACAAAACAATCAACACTTTAGAGCCTCGGCTAAGACTGAAAGGTCAAATATGTCTTCTTCTAGATTTTAGCCTAAAACAAACCAGTTGACACCATAAACTGTAAACAAAGCCATTCACACTTTACATCTCCAGATAAGACTGAAAGGTCAAACATGTCTTCTTCCAAATTATACCCCAAAACAAACCAGTTGACATCATAAACTGTAAACAAAGCTATTTACACTTTACATCTCCAGATAAGACTGAAAGGTCAAACATGTCTTCTTCCAGATTATAGCCCAAAACAAACCAGTTGGCACCATAAACTGTAAACAAAGCCATTCACACTTTACATCTCCAGATAAGACTGAAAGGTCAAACATGTCTTCTTCCAAATTATAGCCCAAAACAAACCAGTTGGCACCATAAACTGTAAACAAAGCTACTTACACTTTACATCTTCAGATCAAACTGAAAGGTCGAACATGTCTTCTTCCAGCTTTTAGCCCAAAACAAACCAGTTGACATCATAAACTGTAAACAAAGCTACTTACACTTTACATCTTCAGATCAAACTGAAAGGTCAAACATGTCTTCTTCCAGCTTTTAGCCTAAAACAAACCAGTTGACATCATAAACTGTAAACAAAGCTACTTACACTTTACATCTTCAGATCAAACTGAAAGGTCAAACATGTCTTCTTCCAAATTATAGCCCAAAACAAATCAGTTGGCACCATAAACTGTAAACAAAGCCATTCACACATTACATCTTCAGATCAAACTGAAAGGTCGAACGTGTCTTCTTCCAAATTTTGGTTCACAGCAAACATCTAAACAAGAAAGCTCATCGTGCTAAACAAAACAAAAACAAAAAAATGAAATTTAAATATCTCGAGAACCAGGAAACGGCTTAACCACAAGTTGTCAGGTAGAAGCTGCAAATAGAAATCTCAAACAACTCTGAGATCTTTTGGATTAGCAATGACAAGTCCCACACAGAAAACGAAGTTTATCTTTCGATACATATCAACGCTTTGTATTTCTTCCACTATGTATACAGTAAGATATCAATGTCTGAGCGTTATAATGTGACGGTCAATCCCACTATTCGTTGGTAAAAGAGTA